ACTTGTCCATCTGTGGCTATACAAATATTCAGGTTTGTATTCACACATGTCATCTTCCTCACCAGCTCATAAAGTCCTTGAGGACCTTTATTTTAATTGTGTCTCTATGATGCCGTAGCCTGTGCTATGTATACATTAGTCATTTAATAAAGGCTTGCTGAACTCATTTGGGTCAGCTTACTCAGGAGAGGAGCTGGTTGGAACTGAGTCCCTCTTGGCTAACCTTTGACAAGTTTCATTAACCCCCATTAAATCATGGGAGGTGTTATTACACCTCTAAGGCTTGTAAATCTCAGCTCAGCCCGGGTAAGTTAAAACTCTGGTTATAAGGCTGGCTATGCCTTGTTAACCTCCATTAAACCCTATTAAGCTTCCCAACTAGAGCCTTAATGACTCTTAGGAATCTTGACTGTTTACTAAGCCCTGTTAAGCCTCATTAAACTTCAGTAAATCTAGTGGAGTGGGACAAGGGCAAGTGTCTTGGCTAGTACCTACTTCCAGTTCCAAAAAGCATCAAGGTGTGAAAATGTCTCAGTTCTTTGGTTTCTGGTTCCATTCTAGTTACAGGGACCCTCACCTGCTCAGAGAGCCATTCACCTGAAAGGTGATGGATGGATTTCTAAAGCTATGATTCTATGATTACTTCCACCAAAAACCGAGTTTGAGTGCTCACCTCCCATGTACAATTGGCCCAGTCTTGGCCACTGTCTTTGGTGGATCACTTTATGAATTTTGGGTTTCCTCTCCTGTAAGACCAGTGTCTGAATTTCTAAGCTCACTTCCAGCTCTAAAAACTCCGATCACAAATAAGGATCCCCTATTTCCTAAGCTCACTTCCAGCTCTAAAAACTCCGATCACAAATAAGGATCCCCTATTTCCTAAGCTCACTTCCAGCTCTAAAAACTCCGATCACAAATAAGGATCCCCTATTTCCTAAGCTCACTTCCAGCTCTAAAAACTCCGATCACAAATAAGGATCGCCTATTTCCTTAGGCTGTATTATGTACATGGCTCCCTGAGACATAATTGCTAAAGCCAGACTCATGGAGGTCTAATATGATGGGCAGATTTCTGGACTCAGTGTCCAGTTCAAGATGTGGCTACACTTTTTTTTTAAAGGCAATTGGGGTTAAGTGACTTGCCCAGGGTCACACAGCTAGTAAATGTCAAGTGTTCTGTCTGAGGCTGGATTTGAACTCAGGGTCAGTGCTCTATCCACTGAGCCACCTAGCTGCCCCTGTGGCTATACTTCTTTAAGAAGAACTAGATGATAAATTATGTAACTTCTCTGGGCCTCACTGTCCTTAAAGCCATATTCCCAAGTCCATAATGTCACACGTTATACTGGGCATGACAACAGGGCCACAGAATTATCTTTAATAATAAAATTTTGTTGTCCCCAGGATACAACTCCTTTCCCAGGCTACCACCACTTCCCTCTATAGGTAGTCTCACTTTATTCAAATATAAGCCCCTCGAAGGCAGGTACTGCTTCACATTGATATTTGTATTCCCAGCCATTAGAACACTACCTGCCACTATACAGTAGCATGTCCTTAATCAATGCCTTTGAATTCATTCAGTTAAAAAACTGGAACTAAGTCAATGAACTAATTTAGCCTGTTTATGCTCAAACTGGGAAGTTATGGGGATTGGCTGCATGGGAGTAAGACCATGGAAGGTCTTAGCTTCACCTACTCTGCTCCTGTTTACCTGCACCACAAGAGCTCAGTGGGGTACAATGGCTGGTGCTGAGCTCAGCATTTAGGAGGCCCTATTTACAATCCACCGACTGGCCCTGAAGAATGTGGCTGAAATTAGTCTTGTAAGAATCCCTAGCGGCGGCTAGGTGGCGCATTGGATAGAGCGTGGGGCCTGAAGTCAGGAGGACCTCAGTTCAAATCCAGCCTCAGACACTTGACACTTCCTAGCTGTGTGACCCTGGGCAAACCACTTAATCCCATTGCCTAGCCAAAAAAAAAACAACAACCAAAAAAACCCCCAAACCCAAACCCTGAAGGTCAGGTACTACAAAGCCACCCCCCATCACTGGATAAACCTGAACCTCAGCAACAAGAGTTTAGATTCATCTCAACCCGTCCAGACAGTTAGAATCATGGGCTCCAAGTACTAAACTTGCTCCAATAGACTACTTCAAAATGTCAGCTCCTACTTCTCACCTCCACCAGTGACAGCACTTCTGCTGATGTGGATAGAGGGCCCGGTTTTGAAACCAGGAAGATCTGAGTTGATGTTCTGCCCCAGGCAAGTCACCTAACTTCTAAGTGTCCCTAGACAACTTTCAAACTATAATTTGCAGAGCAGTTGCTGATCTGAATTAGTAGAGGGAGTTAGTTCCTTGATGGGAAGGGAGTTCCTTCTATTGATGAAGTCAGTGACATGGTGGGGGTAGAAGATGTACAACATAGTGAAAAACTATACCAATTATAAGCCTTAGGTTTAAAAGAAGCTAGATGATAGAAAAAAGAAGGGTTTATGTGGATGAATATTGGCATATATGACATTCTCCATCCCTCCTTCCAAAACTGAACTAGATTCCATTGATAATTATGTCCTTTGACTATGGCTGTGCAAGGCAATTAATGTTACATTAGAATTGCCTTTGGCCAGCTTTTGGACAATCCACTTAGACCAGATATCATGCCAGGCCTTGGCCACACAAAGAACTTGGATACAAAGCTGTTAGCTTAGAAGTCGTTTCTGAATATTCTGATGAGCTCAAAAAAAAAAAAGCCAGTCGACTTGAGCACAGGGACACACACACAAGGATTGTGCTCAAGCAGTTCATCGAACATTTGTCTCACATCATTACTGAAGAGAAATGTGCTACAGCAGAGGTTCCCAGATTTATTTTGCCTACTACTCCCCTTTCAAAAAAAATTACTCCGCACCTTCTTGGAAATCTACTTTAACTCTGATGTTTTTTAAGAATTTGCATCATTTCAAAAAACATAGAATGTATTATTTTAAAATGAATGATGCATCTTTAATTTAATAATTTATTGTAAATTTGTGGGCTTTTTCCTGCATTGAAATTTTGATGATGTAATACCATGTCATATAACCGTATGTTATCATCTTGTAAACAACTCATCATACGCACACACTCCTGCTGATGCATGCTGGACTTCCCCACAACGCTGGACACCCTCACCTGCCAATACATGCTTGTTAAAACCTGTCAATAGACTTGATCACCGATCAGCTATAGCTTAAATTTTGTGTTTATTTTGAAAACAGTGCAATCACTACGATTTTCACTGTCACACAAGATGAAATGTGCAGTTTTTCCAAAATTTTCTTATCTTCTTCTTCCCTTATGCTTCCACTGCACCCCCCTCCCCCCATTATTCCAGTGCTCCCAGGGCGCATCATGGCCCACTTTGGGAACCTACTGCAATATTTCCAACTTTGACATAGTCGAGGTTTGAGTACACTTAGTGGTGGTACTTCCAGGTAAGTCTGCTATGAGTCACTAAACTGGTCACCTCCCTTTATAGGGTTGAGTGGAGGTACCATTCTAGTTTTGCCTTGGGATGACCGCTTAGAAGCACTGTCAAGATACAGAGAAAGAAAAAAGATGTGAGCCATCTTGACAGGCAAGTGGTCTAAGAGCAGGGAGTAACAAAGGGAGAGACTTTATTCTAACCCCCCCCAAAAAAAAAAACCCAAACCCAAGTCATTTATAGAGAAGATACAGCTGTTTAGAATATCCCAACTAATTCTCCCAGGGTAGGAAGCGAAGGGTGAGGGGCTAGCCACTCAATACCCATTAGAAATGGAAAGGAAGACTGAGGCACACAAGGTCTTCACGCAGAGTCTGGATAAGCACTTCTCAGGTATATTATACCGAGGATTATTTTTGGGTATGGACTAGACTAGATGGTTACGAAGGTCCTTTCCAAATCTCAAATTCTGCAATTCTGAGTAGACAGAGCAGCTCAATAAGGGAACAGGTATCTATCTGATCATCAGAGAATTCTAAATCCTGTTAATTTTATCTTTCCTCTTTCAGTGGAAGAAGAAACATTCTGGACTTCCATAATCCTCAAAGTACCTTTTCTTTTTGAGAGAAAATAGCACTGTTCTTGATGCACAATGGACTCAAATGATTGTGATGAAAATTTCCCTTAGGTTTCAGCTAAAAACAAAAGCATTCTTACAAATACACTTGAACAGATGGATCCTGACACCATCTTTCCTTGGAAAGAAACGTACTGCTATTGAAATAGAGAAAACAGATTAGCTGTTTATAAAGGAAAAAAAACCACCACAAAAACCCCCAAAGCCCCAAACCAGTGGCATGTTTCACCATTTTAGTCTGAGAGTTAGAGAGATATTTTATTCTTTGAAATACCAACATTTTCACAGAGGGCATTCAAATACTGCTTTAATCCACAGGCCCCCCGAACCGCCCCATCAACTACAACCTAGAGGGAACATTGCCCCCTTTAGGTAATAAATGAGAGAGGGACAGTACTGAGTTCTGGTGGGGTCTATCAGGGTTTGACACAGTCTCTTGGAAAAGGATCAACCTCATTAAGATAAGACATACACATTATTCAGCAGTGTAGGATCTTTTGATCTTTCACAACGCTCACCCCAAAATCCCTTAACTGAAAACAGCAAGACAGGCTAGAAGCAGCCCAGTGTAGTGGGAAGAGCACTCCACTTGCGGCCTGAAGACTCTGGTTTGAGTCCTCACTTTACTACTGATGGACTAGTCACCCATGTGACTTGGACAAATCACTCACCTCCAGTTTTCTCCTCTGTAAAACATGGATAATTCTTGCTCTGGTTGTGAGGAAGATGCTTTGCACATGGCAAAGCACTATAGAACCGTGACTGACTCTTATGAATAAATATCCATGGAATTGAAATGAATGCAAGCCCTCAGGGAGCAAACTTCACCCCCTTGTTCTGCGCAGGAAGCACATTAAAATATGATCCCCAAGATCCAAAGTATAGTCTATATACATTCATTTACAAATATTTAAAAATGCTTGGATCTTTGGAACATGCATTTTGGATGTGGGTAAAAAGCTTTCCAGCAATGGGAACATGTTGCAACTGCATTACAGAAGTGCCCCTGGTAGTGAGTGACCTGTAGGTGGTATTTATGTGGACCTGCTCCACTGAATCAGCTAAAACTTCATAAAATCGCCCAGCAACAATTCTCTCATTTCCACGGTCCTGGTGTCTCACCTGTACAAATATCAACATTCTGTTTTGGGGGCAAAACTACTTTCATTGCTTAAGGTTAAGATCTCAGTGTCAAAAAATCAAGTAAGGACATGGCAGCTGACCATAAAACACAAAAAATCAAGAAATTCAGAAAGTTAAAAATCCAAGCTTTTCTCCCCCCCCCCCCCAACACCCTGATTACAGCCTTTTGCAAAAAGCATACTTTCAAACATAAACCTTTAGGAAAAAATACCTTGGCTTTAACATACAATTATATGGGAAGAATCTGACCTTTAGAACACCAAATACTGGGTAAATTACTAAGCTTAAATTACTCAGCTTGATTTTATCAATCAAGGAGAAGCAAACTGCACATATATGGGTCACTCATATAGAAAAGCTCTATCTGACACCTTTGGAGGCCTGACAATGCTGCACGATCACTGAAGCCCAAACATTTTCTGTTCCTCAACTGGTTTTGAGTGGAGACTATCACATCACTATTCTTGGTGATTTTGAAGGAAGCTTCTGTTTGGCCAAGGAATTTGCTCATGAAGGAAGGTGGTTAGGGTCCTAGCTCATAGCCTCAGCAAAAACAGCTGTGTGTGTATCAAGAATAGCAATACCAGATGTATGGATTTTCATGTCAATATTCCTAAAAATGCAACATTGCTCAACAAATACAACTGCCCTGAAATCCTAATTTGGCTTGAATCATCCCAGCACCCTCCCTCCCCCCTGCCACACACACATACACACCAAATACTTGAATTCCTTTCACTCTCTCCAAAATAAGGTCACAGAATCTTAGAGTTGGGAAGGGACCTGGGGTGGTCATCCAGTCCAACTCCTACCTGAAGCACGACACTAATCTTTCCCACCAATCCAACAGAAGAGATCTGGGGCAGCTGTTCACATTTGGTATTTTTGGTGCTCAATGAACCAACAGATCTTTATCTGAGTGCCTACTCCAGGTAAGGCACTGTGTTGGTGGTGTGGAAACAGATTTCCAATGGGTTCAGAAGGATGTGTTGGCTGACTCCAGTGAATTGCAAAGCTGGTGAGAAATGAGGGACTTCTGGGCCCTGGGCAGGTTACGTGAAGGTACAGACATCTTTCTGCCCATGCACCTTAATCCTCAACTGCTGCCTCCCTGGCATCTATGGCTGGATCCCAACACGATGGCCATCTGGCTCTAGGGTAATTATTGAATTGTTTGATTTATAACCTATTAGATCCCACATTTCCAGAAGAAATGATTTAATGCTGTAATCTGCTGCATCATAGCCTGCCACAGTCATGTAAGAGTGCTTGACTCTATTTCTCAATCCAGTCTTAAAGGAAAGTCTTTCTATACACATATCGAAGCAATAGAATACACTACTCCTGGCCACAAAGGGCCTTACATATATAGCAGGCGCTTAATGAATCTTTGTTGAACTTAACTGAAAATTGAATTCTTCCATCATTCATACTCTTTTTTTCCCTTAAATTTACAGTAGAATTTAACAGTCTTCATAGGTACAAATGTTCCAGGTATCACCAGTCCATTAAGTATTGTACTTAATTTCTTTTACAGTCAGACTCTTCATTATTCCAGCTGCTTATTACTCTCTGCTTTCTGGTCCAGTCTACTCTTGTTACTCTTCACCATATAGATGAAATAAGCAAGGGTCTCTTTCTCGTTCACTGGGATGTTCCGGAAGTGACGGCTGACAGTCTACGTGGAGAAAACAAACGGTTCATTTAATTCACAAATGGGAAAGCTCACAACAGGGAATTTCCCACTTACAAGCAGGTTATGTTCTAAAAGTTTCTTCTGTGTTGGCCACTTGGAATCATTGTTCTACAGAAGGAGGGCTAGGCTCCCTGGGCAGCCGACACAAATCTAGTTGACGTTTTCAGTGAGCTGCGGTGTGGCAGGTCCGGAGCCAGGAGCCCTTAGGCCGAGTCTTAGCCCTGCCGTTTACTGGCTATGGGATGTTGGGCAAGCCACCTCTCCTCTTTGGGAGTGTTTCCTCTTTTACTCACACTACCCACTGTACTAAGCTATCGTGAGGATCCAAACAGGCCACCTGTGCAAAGCTCTTTGTAACTTTTTAAGTGCTATGTGAATGGGAGCTATAAGTTTTAGATGGCTGTGAAGGATACTAACAGAATCTCAATGATACCTGATTGCCATTAACAAGTCTTTTTGCAGGAAAATGAATTTCTAGATTTAATGCAAGGTGCCAGGAATAAATTTACCCTTTCTACTGGCTCAGGAATCACAGAACAGTGAAAGCCTCACTGAAGATGGCTTCCCTAGGGACACATACTCTTGAGAATCATTAACTTGTTAATTTTCCATATTCAACTGTGTTTAATACAACAAATATATATTAAGAGCGTACCATATGTACGCAAAGTACTATAAAGGATGGATACGTAAATGTGAGAAGGTAGCTCTCCACAATAAGTAGGTAACTTTCAAGGTCAATTTACTCAGGGTTCTGAATTAGGAAACAAAGGGAAGGTGCTTCCTGGAAGACTGTGACTTTGAGGGGAAGGGCAACGTCAGCTTTACATTTGATGATGTGACCAGAGGTATGTTATTCTACTGTTTCTGAAATGAGATAAAGCTAGTACCTTAAAGGTGAGGTGTGTAGAAAGTGCTTTGTGAATCATAAGATACCAGAGAAAGGAATTACTGCAATTATTATAGAGAGTTTAAACCAAAGGTAATGGGATTTTCGTCAATCTAGCCAGGTGGCACAGTGGATAGAGCACCGGCCCTGGAGTCAGGAGGACCTGAGTTCAATTCTGGCCTCAGACATATGACATTTACTAGCGAGTCACTTAACCCCACCACCTAGAAAAATTTTAAAAATGCAGATTTTTTTTTAGATCTATTGAAATAAATATCCAATTGAACAAATGAAGTTCCCAAATCCATAAATTTATCTAACAAGAAGGTAACTACTTCTTTGTGAAACATGGAAAACAAGGAAAGAAAAAAAAACCCCACATGTTTTCAATGGCTTCTTACTTCTCCAAGTTCAAACTCCTTAGTCTAGCATTCAAGGCCTTTCACAATCAGATGCCATACTATTCTTTCAGTTTTATCTCATGCCACTCTGATTCTCTCTAGTCAATGATGATATATACCTTCAACTCTCTAAAAGTACTTTGGCTGCATATCTCTGATACTTACTGTATATTATTTGGTATTATAGTTATTTATGTAACAACCACAGACTGCAGAGGCAAGGAGGGGGGAGAGAATCCTAAGTAAACTTTCTATCTCCCCTAGTGCCTACCAGGCACATAAGTCATTTACATCTTTTCACTGGATTCTTACTTATTCTTTATTTTAAAGTTCAATGAATACAGGTTTCTTCTTTATGCCATACTTCTTCCACAAGTATTAGAATTCTCCTGGGTTTTATTTGGATATCTGGTTAGCATAAGGCAAGGGAAAATTGGATAAGCCAATGAAGAAGCTTCCATAGAAAGGATAAAAGGAAAGTGAGGCTGCTAGCCTTTATGTGACAACAGAAAATCCAGAGTTGACTGCTGGGCCTGGGAGACAAAGAAAAGTATCTTTCAGAAAAAAAGGGGGGAAAGTGGGAAACAGATAGGAGGGAACCCACAAAAGTACCTACAGAGTAAGGAGATGATTTAAAAATAATATGTTAGGTTACTGGCATAGTTATAACTACATAGTGAGGTATAAAGAGAGAATATTTCAAATCCGGCCTCAGACACATGACACTTACTAGCTGTGTGTTCCAGGGCAAGTCACTTAACCCAACTGCCTCACCAAAAAGGAAAAAAAAAAAGAGAGAATAAACAATATGCAAACACCCAACTATGACCACATTACAATGAGAAATCAGAGACTTGGGTTCTAGTTCTGACACTGCCAGTTGTGTAATCTTAGACCAGTTATGTAATCTTTTCTTGGCTTCAGCCTTTTCAACATTTTGTTTTTTTTAAAGAAAGAAGCAGCGAGCCACACCCTGGAAAGGTATTTGGGAAACCTTGGGGGGCAGCGGGTGGGGCTAATTCAGCACACTTGATACAGCCAAGGAAAGGACCCTTTTTATAAAGGCTGACAAAACACGAGTATACAGAGGACAAGTTTAAAAAAAAAAGCATTAGAGAATACAGCAGGGGCTAGTGAAAGAAGTCGGAAGGGAGAATGTGAAGGTCACTATTTTCAAAAGCCACAGCCCTACATACTTCTGCTAGCTGTGCCTTGTTGAATCCTGGTCTGGTCTGCAACTTGTAATGCCTTTTGTAGCGCCTCAGTGTATTCACCTGCAACTGGTACAAATCAACCTGAAGAGAACAATAAAGAAACCATTATCAGCAAGTATTTCATGATCTGCTCAGCACTGTGCTAGTTATAAATGACCATTTATTAGACTCTTAGTATGTACAAAACACTCTGCCAAGTGCGAGGGATACAAACAGAAAAGACACTACTTCGGGAGTGCTACAAAGGAAGTATAAGGAACGGTAGCTCAATGGGTTTATAAATTAATTGAGGAGGTAAAACTAAGAGGGAGAAGTTTAGCAAACATGGTATGCCCTGGCATGGAAAGACAAAAGTGAAACAACTTAGCCCTAACCTGTGTCTTACTGATCGTGTCAGAGAAAGGGAGTGAACAATCAGGGCTGGAATGGTCAAACAGGCTTCATGGAATTATGATATGATATGAGCTGGGCTTTTAGGATGAGTAGAGTTTAGAAAAGGGAAGTGAAGAATTGGAGGAGGATGAAGACACAGCATATGGTAAAGAGAACAAAGGGAAAACCTGCCTTGTTGGAGTGGATAGTGCCTTTTTCATGAGAATGAAAGATAAGGTTGGGCTTGTAGGGTGGAGTTTGATAGACAGGGTCTTGATTAAGTGCCTACTATGTGCAAGACTGTTCTATGAGATACAAACAGAAAAGGGAGAATAACTCTTGCCTTCCAGGTGCTAACTTCCATTCTACTAGGACACAGGGATAAGAAGATAAACGCTGAGTCTTCCTAGTCTGTGGGGAAAGATCTGATACTACACACGCGTACAAGCTGTCTCTTCCTATAGATGCAAACCACTTGAGGGCAGTGACTGTTTCACTTTTGTCTTTCCATGCCAGGGCCTAGCATGATGCCTGACACTTAGTAGGTACTGAATAAACGTTTGCTGGTTGATCAGCAGTAATAACAACAGAAATTCTGTAGCACTTATGTTATCTCCTTTGATCCTCACAAAAGGCAGGTACTATTTTTATTGCCATTTTGAAGATGAGGAAACTGAGGCTGAAAGAGATATGAGTGATCTGCTTAGTCACATAACTATAAAGTGTATGAAGCAGAATTCTGAACCCAGACCTCTCAGGTCCCAAGTCCAATGCTCTATTCACAGTGCCATCCAGCCGTCTTTTACTGATATTAAAAGGTAGAGCATTAAGGGCAAAGAAGAGATCCAAACAGAGTACCCCCCGGAACATCCAGAGGGGGAAAAGAGGACTTTCTCAGGGGGATTAGTGAAGAGTCAGGAAAGGCTACAAAGGAGAGGTAGCATCCGTGCTGAACTCTGAAGGAAAACAAGGAGCCTGGACACTGGAGAAGAGGAAGGTGTGCATGCAAGGCCTGGGCAACAGCCTACGCAGATGCACACAGGCCGAGGACGGCACGTTGCATGAGGCTTAATGTGATGAGACGAGGCAGGCTTTTAGACAGGGGAGAAGCAGAAAGAAGCAGGTATTTTAGAAAGATCTGCATGGTGGCATATCCCGGTTGGGCTGGAAGGGAAAAAGTAGAGTTGAACCAGTTAAGAATACATTGCAGTAACCCAAGTGTGAGGTGATGAGAATAATCATCTTAGGGCAGTAACCTCAGGAATAAAACTACAGTGAAACAAACAGACAATATGAAAGGAAGAAATGGAAGAACTTGATGAGAGATTAAAGAAGAAATAAGTGTGAAAGTTGTGATCCTCAAATACTATTTTAGGCCCACCTCTATCCTGCACTGAGCTGTTCTAATTTCATATTGAAGGCAGTCACCTAACACATTATATCTGGTGGGTCCAATTTGCTTCACATCCCATCCAACAAACCCTGCCAACTGCCCTGCATTCCTAATCCCACTCTGGTTTGCCACCTCTTGCTCTGGGAATAACAAATGAATCAATAATACCCCTGCTACTGAAAAGGGCATGACAATCAAATGCCCTATGGTTCCACTCACAACTCCAGACCAAAAACTCACTTCCCTGGCCACTATACATAATGTGTTGCCTCCCCCATTAGAATGTAAGCTCCTTGAAGGTAGGGCTTGTCTTATTTCTGCACCCCCCAAAACTTTGGAAGATCTTCAAAAGCTTAAGGCAAGAGTTAACTATATTAATAATTAAATGGTGAAGATGAGGGTGGATTTGGTATACTCCCTTCAAATAAAGCTATATAAGAAACACTGATGACGCAGAAAAATTGGGTTGATTTATCTTCTCCTAGATAGGTGGAAAGGGGCAAGTAGGTAGTGCAGCGGATAGAGTGCTGGGACTGGAGTTGGGAAGACTCTTCTTGAGTTCAAATCTGGCCTCAGACACTTAACAGCTGTGTGAGGGGCAAGTCACTTAACCCTGTTTACCTCAGTTTCCTCATCTATAAAATAAGCTGGAGAAGGAAATGGCAAACCAATATAGTATCTCTGCCAAGAAAGCCCCAAATGGGGTCACAGAGAGTCAGACATGAATGGACAACAACAAAGACAGGTGAAGAACACTTAAAAATACAAAATGAGTCACCAGTTTGAGGGACTCAAAGCCTTTCTTTCTAGAGCGTTTCATCACAACTTTTCATGTGAAGGGAATTTTGAAAATTCTTGAAGAAAAGAAAGAGTAAAAGACAAAACAAACAATGTAAACTGTGTCTGGAAAGAAGTTGCAAAAAGGGGAACATAAAAGCCACAGATCTGAAGATCTGCTCAGCTTCATTACTATCTTGCTGTATGACCTTGCCCAAGTCATTGCCTCTCTGTACGCCTCATTTCCACATTTGTGAAAAAAGAAGGTCAGATCAGGTGATCTCCAAGGTCCTTTCCAGTGCCGACACTCTGTGAAATCTGCAGACAAAAGACTGCCTCCTCTTTCCATTCCTGCAGAGTCATTTCCACTGGCATGCCTTATGAAATATTCATGTGCCAGATACACAATGTGCACTAAACGTTTCCACTTCTGTTGAGTCTTAAGTGAAAACAATTTAGAAAGAAAGAAAATCCAATCTTCCTTCCTGAGCACTCGTTTAGAGCCCTCTTCCTGATAGAGACAGGCATCTCTGAGGCAAGGCTGTCTCCTAGCTGGAGAAGTTTTGTGGGTTCAGAGCTCTTGGCAACGAGATAGCTCCTTTAGGTCAGGCCTGTAGCTGGGGACATTTCCAGGGCCCCAAAATTAATAGCTTTATGAAATTCTATGCAGCTCTCTAGTTTATGAATTTTCCTAAATTCTTTATAAGACAGCCTGATGGCACCCGGAGAAGAGTTGAGAAAATTCATCTCCCTTCTTTCTTTGAAGAGGCAAGGGACTGTGGGTATGGAATATTACATATGTGCTGAACTGCTTTTTTTCCCTTTCTCTTAAAATATTTGTTCCAAGAAAATGCTAAATAAGGGATAGAATGAAGGTGATATAAAAAATGAAAAGTATTAATAAAAATAAGATTTGAAAATAGCCTAGTACCGTAAAAAGGGTCAGGAGACAGGGATTCTAAGCAAAGCTCTGCCAATCCCTTATGCCATATAATCTTGAGTAGAGGTCACTTCTCTCTGGGTCTCAGTTTCTTAATCTGTAAAGTGAGGGGATCGGACTAGATGATCACAAAGGTCTTTTCTTTCTCCTTCTATGCTTTAAGGTCCCTTCCTGGTCAAACGTCCCAGATATTTCTGATCACGCCTAAATATATATACTGAACACAATTCAGCCTTTACATTTGCTGATCTCTACCTCAGGGATGTCGGTTTCATGCTCAGGAGAATCGCCACCATCATCACTGGTCTTTCTCTTCCTTTTATTTCGTACGCTCTGGATGAAATTTTTGTGAAAATCACAGATATACAGATGTCTTACCTAGAGGGAAATAAGAACAGCTGAAGTGAGTTGCCAGTTAACACTGTGACACAAACAAGCTCAATACCCAGAATATTAATTGATATAGTATACCCGCTAACTATTACGGGAAGGCACCAGGGGAGCTACAAGAAGTGTGATATATCTAGCCCCTACCCTAAGGAGCTGAAGATCTAGTTGGAGAGATAAGACATATAAACATAAAGAGACTGTTAATGTTACGATGTAGTAATAATAACTCACATTTATATAGTGCTTTAACATTTTCACAAAGCACTTTCAAAATGTTTACAAAGACAGTCAGTGATAAATGCCAAATAATGAGTGCTCTGAGTTCGGAGAAAGGCGAGATGTGTGGTGCAGTCAAGGGAGGCTTTGTAAGAAAGCTATTATCATTATTAATATTGTTATTAAGGTTTCCTGCGGGAGGTGGGACTTGAATGGAGATATAAAGGATGAACAGGACTGGATTAGTCAGGGGAGAGGGAAGACATCATTCCAGATGTGGCGAACAGCAAGGGAGTGGATACAACAGGAAATGTTCAAAGAACAATGAACAGCCTGGTCTAGGGGAGAAGAGGGTCAAACAAGGGAGCAGTAGGAAATAAATTTGGAAATGAGATTGAAGCCAAACTATGAAAGGGCCTTGACTGCCAGGCTGAGGAGTCTGGCCTTTACTCTATTGGCAATGGCCAGCCAGTAAAGGCTTGGTATTTTAATTAAGTTTTATTGATACTTTTTGTTTTTATAGTACAGTCATTTCTGGATATGCTCCACCCTTGGCCCCAAACTGAACTCCTTCTTATACCAAAGGAAAACAGTTCAGCAGAAAATAACTGAATCATGACTGAGTCTGAGGCATCCCCTCGCCTTTCTACTCTACCGAGTCATCACTGGACTTCCAATTACTCAGAGCTGCCCCTGAAGGTTTTTTTTGAGTAGGAGAAGAATGTGACAAAAAGGGTTTTTAGCAAGATTAAGGAGAGGTCCCAAGATCACAAAGTAGGCGGGATTTGAAGTTTGGGCCTCTAAGGATGAACAAGCCTCTAGAGGAGTGCGAACAGTGTTCTCGGTGGCAGAGAGGATTATGTCATTTTATACTAGGAAAACCTACTAAGAGAGAGTTTTCTTAAAATTTCCTTTGAGGTATGAATTTGAAACCTGTAACACCAGGGAAATCTCTGTCAAATTACTTACCCACACTGGGCCTCTGCTGCTCCATGCATAAAGGAAGGGAATTTAGGCTAATCTCTAAGGTTTCTGATTCTCTATAACTCTCAGACTATGTTTTTGACTTCATGTACAGATCAAATTGGAAAAAAAGACCTCCTAATATTTAGCCAAAACTGAATGGCTGATCCAAACACTGATTCTGTGATATTTCTTTTTATGGATATAGGCTGATGTTTAAAAAAAAAATTACAGCTTATACTTATATAGCCTTACAGAGTCTTTACACAAATATTTCATTTAATTCACACAACCACCCTGAGAAGTAGGTGGAACAAGGATTATTAACCCCATTCTTAAGAGAAGGCAACAGTTCATTGAGGCAATATAATTCAAACAATGTCACAAAGATAACAAGGTTTAGAGCCGAGACTCTAAATGTTCTAGTTCTGAGACACTAGATGTTCTAAGGCAAGGTCACTTCCCTCTCCAGCACGCTGCTCTCCTCAGACACCCAGAGCCATGGCTACACAGAAGGATGGATGAAGCAGTAGCCATGGTGAGAAGGATCTGCTTTTGCTGAAGAACAAACCCCAGGGTTAGCCGAGGGGAACTGCTGAGAAATGAGCGGCTCTCTAAATTACTTAGAATTATTGACACTGAAGCAGATGGTGCACAAATGTTCTCTTCGTCTTTTAATTGGACACTTTTGAATTGGAGGTTATTTTTTGGATTGCTAGTTAAAGATGAAAGTAAATGGATATGAAATCAATCCACCATAAATTTGGCACTTTTCAATGAGAAAATAATAAACACTGGAAATTTATTCCGATGAACCAGAATTTTTTTTTAATTGAGTTGGAGCCTTTGGTCATAAATAATTTTAAGTTTAAGCATGGGTGGATTGAGTTATCCTGGCCCTACAACACTTCCTGTCTATTCAAAGTTACTGGGCAGGACTGCAACTGGTTAGTGCTGTTAAAAATGGGGCCTGTTAATTCCAAAAAGCATAGGAAGACTTCTATGAACTGATTCAGAGGGAAGTAAGAAGAAAAAGCAACAATACGAATTGGAAAGAAAAACAACACAACAGACCTGAATGCCATTTAATTATAATGCTCAAATTTGGCTATCAGGAAAAGATGAGAAGAAGAAGATGCAGAAGAAGAGGGATACGGGTACAGAATATTGTACATTTTGTCAGACAAAGCTCTTTGTTTTACTAGAAAAAAGAGGCTTTACTAAATATTTCAGCTGATTTCACTACTTTTTTTTAAAGTAGTCAAATGGGTAGGGGAAAGAAGGGATTTGTGTGTGTATATGTAAAACTGATAAAAAATAAATGATATTAAGAAACACTCATAAAAAATAACAGTAAAATTTTAAAATAAAAACAAAGCAAAATAAGACATATTCCAGGTCTATTCCCTGCTAAATGTATGGTCCTTGGCAAATCACTTAACCTTTGTGGGCCTCAATTTACTCCTCTATAAAATGAGTTGAATTACATGACCCGTCAGATGTAGCTCTAAAACATACAAATCCTAAGGCCTCAGTCAAAAAGAGTCAGTTAAGAAGCATTTATTAAGCATTTACTTTGTGCTAGGTATGGTGCTAAGTACTTTGGGGATACTAAAAATGACCAGTCCCTGATCTCACAGGACCTTACAATCTAATGGGATAGGCAACAATCACCTAGTCCCTTTCAACTATCTTAAAATATTTTAAGGGATAAGAAGCCACACTAGTAATATCAAGGACTATTGTTATAAATGAATGGCATCCTGTCTTTTAAAATGTAATACATGGGGGGCAGCTAGGTGGCGCAGTGGATAGAGCACTGGCCCTGAAGTCAGGAGGACCTGAGTTCAAATGTGGCCCTCAGACCAAACACTTGACATTTTCTAGCTGTGTGACCCTGGGCAAGTCACTTAACCCCAACTGCCTAAAAAAAAAATGTAATACATGGTTCTTTTCTTCAGAGATACACACAGTTCTCTTTCCTCAACGGCCCACAAAAGGGAAGGTGCTCTCTAGTTGACTGACACTAAGAATTAAAGCAGAAGGATATGAAAGCAACTCACATTTCTACAGCACTGGATTTCTGCAAAGCACTAACCTCAAAACACATCTGGGAGGGAAGTGGCAGCAGTGTTATTATTCCCATTCTTCAGATGGGAAAAGGAAGTAAGGCTTGAGAGGTGAAGTGACTTGCCTATGACCATACTGCTTACCAGTGACAGAACTGGGAGTTGAAACCACCTATCTTTCTACCGTACCATGTGGCACCCAAGGGTTGCACACATATATGGGTATAAAAATCAGAGCTGAGTCATACATCATAGAACTTGACTGTGGAACAGAATGTTGAAAAACCTTAGAAATTATTTAGTCCAACTGTTACCTAAGAGGACAGAGGAGGCAGTTAAGGCCAGAGTTTGGGTTAAAACTGTCTCCTTCTATAGCCCCGGGATGTTATTTCTACTATGCTACCTAGTCCAAACAGCCTAAACTCTAGAATGAGTCCTTTTCATTCAACAATATTTCTTTTCACTGCATTACTCTAGTCTAGCCTCTGTCAAATATCACCACCTGCTTCTCCATTCAAAAATGCAGAAATACACCAAAAGGAGGTAATTTTTGAAATGTGTTTTGCCTTTAAATAAATCAAAGAATATTGCCAACCCATCAATAATAAATAATGTAAAACTACCTAAAGTTTGCCTCTATCAGCTGCTTTCTGAGGCTGTTAAAAAGCAATTTCTGCTTTTTTATTGACATGACTTTAGCCATGTCACTTACCCTCTACAGGTCTCAGTTTCGTTATCTGTGTGAAAAAGAAAGGTGCTGAACTAGATGGTTTCTAAGCTCTCTTCCAGCTCTAACAATGTATTCTATCTTCTAAGGTTCTTCTTGCTCTGAAATTCTATGGTTCTATAAATATTGAGTCAGCATATGCTTTTAACCATTAACAAGAACAAACAGATTTTCTCTAATTTGGTTGATTGGGATTTGGAAAGAGTATCCCCTTCCTCCATTTTTTTCCCCCTGTTTGCAAATCTGATTTTTAGCAAGACAGCTGTTACTTTTAACTGAAGTCCTGCTCATTCTTGAGAAGAAAATGGAATCCCTTTCTGAAATGACACCACCTTGAAAAGAAAATTGCTAGTGAATCTGTTCCTAAAAAGTACCATTTGAAAAGTGAGGAGGTATTACTTTTAGCAATGCTATTGCAATTCTCACCCTCTTCCTCTTCTCCTCAAAATATATGGGAAATCACCAAAAACACAGTTTAAATTAATGAGTAGAGTTGCAGTCTCAATCCAGCAATCCACCAATGTAAGAGCATCCAGATGTCAACGAACCTATAAGCTACGGTAAATATAAGTTGTGATTTCAAAAGGGTACTCTTTTTGCAATTGCTAAATAGTTTTATAAGAGGTAAAGCCCAAACCTATCTGATAATACAGAATTTTTCATTTTTTGGCTAATCCTTTAGTTCTAGATGAGAGGTTTGATATAGTTGGGGGGGGTGAGTTAGGGGTGGAACCTTCAGCCTCGAGGCCCTCTAGGTCCTCAAGTGGGGCCCTTTTGAATGAATCCAAACTTCCCCACCCCTGAATAGTGGAATGAAGACTGGACTTGGAGAGAGAGGACCTGGGTCCGATTCTTAGCTGTGGGAAAAACTCATTCATCTCACTTAGATTCCTTGAATTTTAAATAGACCCTGTCTAGTCTCTTTAACAAATCTAACTCCTTAATACTGAAACTGCCACTAAACTTGACAACATATGACACTCCAAAAAGCACTCATTATCAACCAATTAAGAACATCTCTAGGACTGTAAACTAGAACCTCCCGCAGACAAGTTTCCTACAATCAGGTAGGAGGTCCTAAGCGTCATCGTAATCAAATTTAAATTCCCATTCATTCAATTAACAAATATTTATAATGCTGCAGGTGTAGTACAGAGATGCAAAGAGCACTTGAAAGAGGAAATCGAAAGCCCCAGGTTTCTGTGCGGGTTCTACCTCTTCTGAGACCTATGGCCTCAGGCTCAGCACTCCTCCTCCAAGGGCTCCAATTTTCTCACGTATAAAATGGGGTTAAAAATCAGCACACTCATTATCTATCTCAGACTTATGTGGAAAGAAAGGTACTTTGTAAACTAGAAAAGGCTACAGATACGGTTTTTTTTGAAGCTAGCTAGTATGTTTTGGGGGAAAAGACTGGATACAGGGGAAGATTTGTTTGTGCTTCAGATTTGCATGGGTACTTTCGGTAAGAAAACTCCCTCAACTCCAACCAAAGCAGACTGGCAATCATTCTGCAAATTTCAGCTCTGGACAGTCCTATGGGGAGAGGGATTAAGGGGCTTGCTTGCCCAGGGTCAAAGGTGACACTTGAACCCAGGTCTTCCAGATGATTGGAGGACAGTCCCTATCCTCAAGGAACATAAAGAGTCAAGATAAAGGTTCTCAAAATGGGGTTGGTTTGTGAAGTTGGATGGGAAAATAACTAAATCTTTATTTTCACTAACCTCTCACTGCAATTTAGCATTTCCTTAAAAACATTATTTTGGGAAGATGTCCGTAAGACAGTTCAAGGGGGCCGTGGCACAAGAAAGGTTAAGGAAGGTCTCAATCTACAGCAGAAAATACATGAGAGGTGCAAGCAAGAAACAACGTTAAGGCCTGAAAGTGGAAAAACATTTGTCCAGGAAGGCTCTTGCTCTCTCTCTCGCTCTCTCTCTCTCTCTCTCTCTCCCCTCTCCCATTCAATGTAAAAACCACTCTTCCTCAGAAAAACAAACAAAACCAAACAGACCTCTGCCTTGTTACTAAGCCCCATCTTTGTAAGCCCCATTTCCATAAGCTGCTGAAAGCACCCTTCCTCGGTAAGCAGCCTTACCATTTGGGGGTTGAACCACGAGCAACCTGACTATTCTAAAAGAAAAATTCGGGGTGTGTGTGTATGTTTCCCATGGGGGAAAAGTTAGAAGCTGAAGAAAAGGGACCCCACCACCTTCCTCCTAATATGCTGCAGCTGGAGGGGGCTTAGAACTAATCCGGTCCCAACCTCCCCCAGTTAACTGAGGAGTTAAAACACGGGGAGCCGGAGAGGAGGGATGACTTGCCCAAGGTCACCCCCTCAAACGAGCTTCACGAGGGCTTGCTGACCTGAGCAAGCTGACCATAAGGGCTGGGTGGGAATGGGGATCCCTCGGTGGTCCGTCCGGTGCCCCTTCCCAAATGCTGGTGCTCACCACGTACAAAACAAAAGAAACCAACCAACTGCTCTGCTGATCTGAAGTGCTGCCCAAGTCCGGGCTCCAGGCTACCCCTGTCCTCCAGCTCGGGGACCCCGCTGGACGCCCTCCCTCCCCTCTCTCACTTGGGGAGCGGGGACCGGGCGGGGATGGTGCTGGGGGTGGGGGTGGGGGGGAGGCAGGGCTCGGAAGGAGCTCCGGGCTCCAGCCCGGGCTCCGCCGCGCGGGCACGGGCGCGCGCGGGCTGTGTGACCTTGGGCCAGTCGCTTGCCCTCTCTGGGCCTCCGTTTCCTCCCCCGGCGGGGGCGGGGGGACTCACGCTCTTGTCGATGTCCAGCCGGAGTTTCTTCTGCGAGATGCTCTTCTGGATCCTCTTGCTGAAGGAGGCGTTGCCGGCAGGCCGGACGCAGCGCTCCCCGTCCTCGATCAGGCAGCAGCTCTGGCCGTAGCCGGGGGCGGGCGCGGGCGCGGCGGTGGGCGCGGGGGCCGGGGCCGGGGCTGGGGGCCCTTCCCGGCTGTCCTCCTCCGTGCTGAAGCCGTTCATGGCCCCGGCCCCGGCCCCGGGGACGCTCACGGGAAGCGCGAGCCCCTGCCCCCGGGACCCCGGCCCGGTCGCGGCCCCCCCACCCCCCGCCGAGGCGGTCCCCCCGGCCCCGCCCGCGGGCCCGGCCTCCCGCTGCCTGAGCGCGCCGGGGCCCGGCCCGGCCTCGAACCCGCGGCCCCCGGAGCCCCGCGAGCCCCGCGGCGCCCACTGGGCTGCCCCGCTCTCCCCGAGGCGGCGGCCGCGGCGGCGGCGGAAGTCCCACCCCTGCGTCACCATTGGCCGCTAGAAGATACGGGGCGTGGCCGGGTCCCTCGGCGGCCGTGGTCATTGGGCTAGGCGCCCGCCTGTCACGAGAGGCCGGCTCCTTCCTGGACTCTGCGGGGACGGGTCCAAAGTAGAGAAAGTGCAAAGCCAGAGAGTTGGTGGCCGGGCTCGGAGACGCGGCCCGGGGCCAGCAGCTGCCGCGAGCCGGGCGGGGGAGGACGGGGCCACGGAGGGGCCGGCGGGGCAGCAGGGACGGACAGATCCAGAGGAAGTGGGGGGTCACAGGGACAGGCGGGATGGACAGAGAGGCACAGATGGAGTGGACAGACAGAAGGACACAGAGGGTCAGGTGGGATGGACAGAGGGACACAGGAATAGGTGAGATGGACAGGGGGACAAATGGGGTGGACAGACGGACGGATACAGAGGGACAGGCGGGATGGACGGAGGCACAGATGGGGAAGACAGATGGACAGACATAAAGGGACAGGCGGGATGGACAGGAGGACAAATGGGGGTGGACAGACACAGAGGGACAAGTGGAATAGACAGGGGGACAAATGATGTGGACTGATGAATACAGAGGGACAGGTAGGATGGACAGAGGCACAGATGAGATGAATAGACATGGACACAGAAGGCCAGGTTGGGTAGACGGGGGACAGAGGGATAGGTGGCAATCTAAAGGGAATGAAAGGGATGGACAGTCAGGCAATGAGGGGCAGAGGGATGGACAACCATAGAGACAGATGAGGAGAAGGGGCAGACAGAAGGACACAAAGGATGGAGAGGGACCTAGAGGGATAGGAAGGATGGACAATGAGCCAGACAGACATTCAAGGATGGAGGAATAGGCAGACGGGGACAGAATGGATGGACAGAGAGACATAGAAGAGATGAGTAGAAACACACAGGGACAGAAAGGATAGAAGCAGAAGGGAAGGACAAAAATGCAAACGGGGCCGTAAAGGGACAGAGGGGATGGGAAGAGATAGAAGGGATGGGCAGAAGGGACCGATGAACATGGATAGACAGTGGGACAGATGTAATGATGGTACAGAGGGGCAGAAGTCAGAGTAGTAGGCTCAGAAGTGAATATGGGGAGACTGCAGTAGGGAAAGGAGAGACATAAAGGGTTGAAAGGTTATAGGGAAAGAGAGAATCACATGGAGGGACAAAATTGAATGTACGGGAAGTGATAGAAACAGGGGCACTGACTGGGTAGAAGAGAAAGACAAGAAAGCAGCTCAAAAGTAGGAGAAATGGTTGGGCCAGAGACGCTCTTACAAAAAGAAAACTAAGGAAGATCCCAGGATCTTAGATTTAAGAGATCACTTAGTCCAATCACCTAGTCCAATGCTCATTTTACAGATGAGAAAACTGAGGCCCAGGGAGCTTAAGTGATATGCCCAAGATCATACTGGTAGTTGTGTATTGGGTGGGGGTGGTATTGGGGGAAGAATGAGACTTGAACTCAGGCACTATCATTTTTTTTTTAAGTAAATATTAGAGTCAAGATTCAAACCCAAGGAAATGAGGAGGAGTTAATGAAGACAGTCTCTGGCAGCTGAGGAAGAGTGAAGGAGAGAGAGGAGGTAGTCTCAGGGAGAAGAAATAGGAGAGAGAGAGTTCTGTCCATCTCATACTTTTTGCCCATACTTCAAAAAAAGAATCATGAAAATTATCAGGAATATTGATAGCTTGTATTTATAGTTTGTAAAATACTAACAACACTGTAAGGTAGGTAATAAATCAATCAAACATTAAGTAAATACCTACTGCATATCAATACTATGCTAAGATTAGAGATACAAAAACAGAAAAGAACAGTCCCTGCTCTACATTCTGTGAGGAAAACATGTACACATATAAATAAATACAAAACATATATGAAGTGACTATAAAATAGTTTTTTAGAGAAATTGGAAGGTGGTCAGGAAAGTAGAAAACCACAGAGGCCTCATCTAGGAGGAACATTTGAGTTGACTTTTGAAGGGAATGAGGGACTCTTAGGCTGTGGTGAGGAAGGAGGGCATTCCAGGCATGGGAGCTAGTTTGTGCAAAGGCACACAGATGGGAGATGGCATCTAGGTAAGATGGCTGTGTGAAAGGTCACAGAGGAGCCCAGCTCTACCACTTTTGTTCAATCAAGGAAGAACACTAGTTTGAGTAATGACAAAGAAAGTCCAGAAAGGAATATTTTCTTTCATCCAGGCCAGGAACACACACAAAAAAACAGAAGCTTCAGACAGTGGTAGTTGGGTCTTGTTGGAGAAGTTGGCACCAGAACGGGTGAACAGACTGGAAACCTGTAGAAGCATCTAGGGGCATAGAGACTGTGGCTGTGTGCTAACCTGGGTTAGGGAGGGAGAAAATCACACCTTGCTTAACTAGAGTTTACCTCTGAGCTCTAACTGGGAAGCACATGAATGCCTGCTAGTAGAGAAAAAGGAAACCAGTATTAGGAGCCCAGGAAATTGAGGTCAGGTCTTGTTTAACTAATTACCCAGTTTAAAAGTATGGTATGGGTGGTGTCGAATCCTTGGGAGCTGATGAGAAAAGAAGAGGGCCTGGAACAAAGCTTTGGGGGAAATGACACCTATGGTTAGTGTGTGTGACTAGGATAAAGATACAGCAAAGGACGTAGAGAAGAGATCAGATAGGTAAGGAGAGAGCCACCTCATGAATACCTAAGAAGAGAGTAATCAATAGTGTTAAAGGTTGCAGAGAGGTCAAGAAGGATTCTCAATAGACTCACTAAACTCTAATGGCTCCCTAAGATCAAACATAAAACCCTCTGGCATTTAAAGGCCTTCATAACTTTGTGTCGTTCAGTTGTTTCATAACTTTGTGTCGTTCAGTTGTTTCAGTCATGTCCAACTCTTCATGATCCTATTTGGGGTTTTCTTGGCAGAGATACTGGAGTAATTGTTTCTCTTTTGGCCAGCAACCCTGAGGGTCTTCCCCTCCCAGTTTGATTTTTTTTTTTTAAATTAAAGGGGCCATCCCTTGGCTCACTTCTTAAATAGGCCCAATCACTGAATGGGTGTTGCCTTACTCAAAGTGAGAACTCCTAAAGACCTCAGCTTAAAAAGGCCCAGGTCTCCCATTGCATCCTGGGTTATGTCCAGTTGTCCTGATCTATATCTGACCACTGAAGTCAGACGGCTCTGGAGGAGAAAGTGAGGCTGGTGACTTTGCACAGCCCTCCCTGCTCAAATCCAATTCAGTTGCAAGTCATGTCCTTGTCTTCCTGATGTCATGGTCCTCTTGGAGAAGAAGGACAAACCACACGTAACCCAGCGCTCTATTCATTGCTGCATCTAGCTGCCCATAAGTATATAAGAGGTATATTTTGTTCAAAGTTTAGTTTCCATTTTTCATCCTCACTCCAGGAAATAAATTTATTTCCATCAAAATCGGTATTTTTTGCTCAGATAGTGACCATATTTTCTTTTAAGGTATTTTTTGGGTGGCTTACTTTCTTTGAGATTGTCCTTTACTTCTCTGTATTTACATTCCCAACCCATTGTTCTCTATTTTGTTTCTTTGGTGAAACTTGCCATTGCAGGTTCAAGTTCTTGTCAGTTATTTTTGCTGTGCAGACCATAAATTCTGTTCTCATAATTCTCATTTCTTTTTTTAAAACACTCAGGAACAATGTGTTGTGGTTCCTGATTATCCTCAAACTCCACAGGATCTTCTGTTTCATCAAGCGTTGGATAGTTTTCCATTTCCATTCATAACTTTGCCTCTTCCTATCTTCCCATACTTCTCATCCCTTCCATGTACTCTAAAATCCAGCAGCATTGTTGGCCTTCTTGTTCTTCTTCACATGTGAAACTCCATCTGTCCTCAAGGACTCCAGCGTCCTTGACTCTGTCATCAGTCTCCCACTCCTACACTCCACCCCCATGCTAGGATTTTCTCTCTGAAGATTACCTTCTATCTGCTCTGTAAATATCTTTTATGTTCCTAGCTGTTTATGTGTTGTCTCCCTTATTAAAATGTGAGCTTTTTGAAGGCCTTTCTTTGTATCCCTAGCACTTAGCGTGGTGTCTGGCATGCAGTGAGTGCTTAATAAATGCTTGTTGACTGACTGGCACGAAGTCCAAAAATCAGGAACTGAGGCCAGAGAAAACAGAAGCCACTAATCATTATAAAGAAATATTATGGATCCAGAGACTTCCAAAAGACAAATACAGAAAACGTGAGTAATTCCATAACAACTACCTATGTGACTTCAGACAAGTTACAACTTTGCTAAGCCTCTCATCTGTAAAATGAGGTTAGATTAGAGGGTATTTGAAGTCTCTCCCAGCTCTATAGCTATGGTCTTAGGGGCCTATGAAATATAAATAGAGCCTCAGATGGAAAAAAAAATGGCTTGGCCACAAGGAATGCAAGCGTATCTAGAAGAAATGAAGTAATAGATAAAAAAAAATAAATTAAAAGTGAAATAAGATCTCTGGAGGAAAGAACTTGGAAGGAGAATAATACATAGCTTAGAAACAGCAGGTAGAAAGCCTTACCCAATAATGGACCAACAGAACTCACTGACTTCCTGAGACTGAGAAATGTCAAACACCAGTCAAAAGATTGAAAACCTCGACGAAAATATCTGCGATCAGAAACAACTGAGCTTCAATCAAGTCAAGGAGAGACAATTCAAGAATTATCAGACTGCCTGAAAACCGGGACCAAAAAAAAAGTCTGGATACCATATTTCAAGAAATCTTAAATAAAAACGGTTCACATTTCTTAGAACCTACAGGCAAAATAAAATAATAAGAA